AAAAAAATGACAACTGTTGATACACAGCGCACACTCACAGGGTTATTCACAAAAGGGTGAAGGGTTTGGAGAAGGAAGGAGAAGGGAACAATCTAGGACAACAAAACTGAACTGGAAAGTGAGCTGAATTGAAGAATTTTGTCCAAATCAGCTATGCTGTCCTAGATTGTTCACTTCTCCTTCCTTCTCCAAACTCTTCACCCTTTTGTGAATAACCCTGTAAATGTCATTTATTTGGGTTTACATTTACTTTTTAAATGTATTGTGCATGAGAAAAAAAAAGAAAGATTTAATTTTTGCAACACTGACAACAGGAATTCAATCTATCATCCTGCCGACAACGCCACAAACTGGACATTTGCAGAACTGATGGCTGGTACTTGAGTTCATCTGGAGTGCAGTAAGAAAATGATTAGGTTGTGGAAATATTTGAAATACAGAACTGCTCCACTCTTAGATGTCAAGACTCCACAATGGGTCTTTACCGGGGTACAGCACCGGTACACTCATTTAAATTACAATAAAACTTCTAAGTATTTCATTTACTGGAGATTGCGTCACAGGGAAAATGTAGGTTCGCTAGTAGTTGTCTTTTATTTTCAGGTTGAGGGTTACGTAGATGAAAAAGTTGTGTTGTGAGTTCAGCGGAATATATAAAGACTTCAGTCCGCCTTCAGAATACAGAAACAAAGTCATCTTGTTTGACTTTCTCCTGCACCCACTTCCTGTGTCACCTCCGTTGTACGGTCTGCTTTCTAAGTTCACCGGTCGTGCTTGGAAGATGTCAGGCAACGACTAATACAAATGAATTTCCGTGAAAGCGGAAAATGAGATCACAGACACCCACGTCACTTTATGATTTTCGTTATGAAGTCCATTGGGTTCACAACCAAAGGAAAAAAAGAACGCCTTCAACAAGCTTAGGTAATCCAGATAAAGGGAATGAAAGAACTTTAGAAAACTTGCTTATATTTGCCTTAACAAAAAATATTCCTTCTGGACTCCTAATACCAATTGTGGCAATGTTGTACAATGGCCATGCCCTGGGAACAACCAATGTGTTATAAATGAACCTTTATATATTGTCCTTTTTGTCAAGTGGCAAACTCTTGGGCTGAAATTGTAGCATTGCCAGAGTGGTAGTCCACTCATGGTCCAATTACTCTGCTTACAGGTTCTGTTTTGAATAGGAGGCTATGGCCCAGGCATTGCTGGTAATGGCCCAGGCCCCTAAAACATGGACACTGAGCCATTTGGTTTAGTGTACTCTATATATTGATTTATTATTTATTTCAGGTATTTATATGGCGCCGACAATTCACGCAGCACTTTACATAGTTGCACATTCACATCAGTCCCTACCCTCAAGGAGCTTACAATCCAAGGTCCCTATCTCACATGCACACATAGGAGGGCCAACTTAGAGAGAAACCAATTAACCTTCCAGCATGTCTTTGGAGTGTGGGAGGAAACCGGAGTACCCGGAGGAAACCCACGCAAGCACAGGGAGAACAGTCAAACTCCTTGCAGATGGTGACCTGGCCGGGATTCGAACTGGGGACCCCCAGTGCTGCAAAGGCAGAAGCGCTAATTTGCACAGTGAGAAAACCCCCCAGGTGAATTTGTCAGCAAACACAGAATCAATGACTCGGCTCTGGTCCAGCAACTGCTCACTTAGCTTCCTAGAGCTACAGTTTTCCTTTTGCCTTCCAGCAAGCCAAGGCCAAGCAGCAAGTGCCACATCTGAAGTTAAGAGTGTAGTCATGGAGGGTCACCAGATGGCCTAAAAGTAAAGGCAATATATGTGTTAAATCTACCCCCATGGAGAGGAGATTTTGACACCATTCTCCTCCAAAAAGAAAAAATGTGGACCTATAGGCTAAACACCATGACACCCATGGGCTTGAATAATTAATTCAATTTAAATGTTTTCCTATGAACCCATAAAAAAAGTTAAAAGTACCTATGACTGTCTCCTCACCTTCAATATGTTCAGCCATTATACACTCCCATATTGACCTCTATCCGAATTAACTGTATGTGATGCAAATTATACAGATTGTCGTATGGTAAATTAAGATTCAGCCCAGTGATGTCTATGGGCTTAATTGAAAGATGGTTCACAGGTGAGGACGGTAGTTTTATAAGTCCTTCACCTGGGAACCTGCACGTCCTGACGAAGCCCCTGGGGAAGGGGCGAAACGCGTAGACGCCGCACACTCAATGGTCGGATAGACCCCAAGTCTACTAGACGCACTGTTGTAATGTCTTGACCCACAGCACTCTTTCTGGGTTTTCCGGATACAACGTGGATTCCCATTTGTGTTTCGCTATCACGGACTTTCGTGCTGAGGATAATCCTGGATTATATTTTTTTACTAACAAAATCATTCTATCGATCAAAAGAACTCAAAGAGGATAGCCCTGCACAGAAAAACATCAGTCCAGATATGTGAGTAAGACTGCCGTATTACTATACCGGGATTAGTGGAATAGGTCATATTCCCACAGCCAAACAAATACCCCTTCACTTCTACGGTACTAAAGGGAAGACTCACATACCATCTAGCACCCACACCACCATTCCAGTCTATCACACTAGTAAAACCAGCACAACCACAAAGTATTTTTGAAAATATATCCTTGTGTTTCAATCCGGGACACTATTTACAAAAGGAACTACATGGAAATAATCTAACAAAAACTTCAATTACAAAGTATCCAGTTTCTGCATCACGGGAATGCACTCACCCAAGAAGCCACACTATATAACTTTATGTTGCCAAAATAGGAATATACAAACTAAATTAAGTGGCAACCTTGTGCTCTCTATTGAAATTGATGTGATACCAAGTCAACACAGGGTTAAATACCTTTATTCAGAGCATATGCTATACCTGAATTTAGAAGCTGTTTTGTGGCCTTGATTGATGTGCTTAATATTTATAGGGTTTATATTTTCCTACCTAATGACTACTTTGCTCACAGTCAGTCACTTCTGTTTTTTTGTTGGCCGTGTCTGTTTTTTTACTTTTATATGAATAAAATCATTTTCTAATATATTTGGAAATCTGGTCTGTCCCGATCTAGAATCAACCCTTGGACTCTCTATACTATATAGTCAGTCTGACCCTTTTGTTTTGATTTATGTCTTATGCTGGTTATTGATCTGGTAAGACAGACCTGTTTCAAAGGGTGATATATTCAGAGCTTTTTGAATCTCCAGGAGTAAAACAACCCCAAATTGTTTCATATGAGAGTGTAGCCAGCCCTAATGCCTATAGCAGGGCTGGACAAATCCCAGGAGCCAGGTAGCCAATGCTCCCTAAAAATTAAAACTGGTGCCTAACTTTTGAGGTTTTCACTAGTTATTAAAGGATCTGGTGCCTTTAAAAAAAATCCTGCTGGCTCCTGGATTGGACAGACTGACCCCTGAATTTCATATTGATTTGGCAACCCCTGGCCTATAGACACGGCAGCTCACATTTAATATTTCAGCAAGTAAAGCCATATTCCACAGTACTAACCACATGCATTTGAGGTTGAATAAAGACACAGGTCCATCAAGTGCAACCTTTGTGTGTCTGTGTGTGTTTGTTCATGTGTGTGTGTGTATAAGAGTCCCTGTGTGGTCTTAGTTTTTAAGAGTACCTGTACCCCTGTATGTTACGGTCTCTTAGGACGGTATCTAATTGATTTTCGAATGAATTAATATTCTCTGCTGATACCACTGCTTGTGGCAGAGAGTTCTGTGTGGTTTAATCTTTTCTCCACCAGGTTTAGGTGGTGGCCTCTAGTCTTTTTTAGGGAGTTTACAGTAAAAAGTTTATTGCTGATGTTGCCATCACCACTAAACATTATGTACATCAAAATCATGTCCCCTCTTAATCTCCTCACTTCCACTGAGCCTTTTTTATGCCCTCAGTCAATGATCAAGCACTGAACTCCCAGTTTTAACACCAATGTGTACAGGACCTTTCAGCACTAAGTAGCAGCAAAATGCATCGTCTCATTCTTATTTCATTTTTATTTATCACTTGTATGATACATTTCATAAAAAAGTGCAGATATTTACATCAAAAGATGGCAGCCCAAGTTGAAGAGATATACTCACATTAGATTAAAGCGGTAAAAGCTTATGCATATGCCTACTGGCTATGAAGTGAAGCCCGATGACTGGCACACACTGACCAGGATCCAGTCAGTGAACCTGGAATTGCCAACCTGCATTCTCGTTCTGACCAGTGACTCAGTAAGCAGTGAAGCCAGGACCAGGATGACAGCCATAGAACTTGCACCTCCAAAAGTCAGAAACTTCTGCACCAATATTTCTGCCCTAACAGGTCCCTCGTAGGCTTTGGCAGTGTGATTGCACAGTAGTAGATACAGACTGAGAGGGCATGTACTCATCAGAAGCCCCACAACACATCGATAACTGTGCGATTGTATGATGTCCTCCTTTAAATTCATTTTTCCAACACAGCTTAAGTTTTTAATTAGATTTACATTGGGAGTCTTCATACTGCTGAAAGGTGGAAGAGGCAGAGCACATGATACCTAGAGAAATTCCTTCAGGCTCAGAAAATGGTGCCATGCCCTTGGAGATAAAGTAGGCATGTAGCATGTGGATGGTGACAGAAGCAGGAACTGACTAAGGAGAAAAAGATTTGACAGGTAACCTGCAGCTGATAGAACAAATAAGAAGGTTTGTCCACCCAAAACTGATATTAGTGTTTGGTGGGTGCTGAGAGGTAACCCCCCTGACATTTTCATATATTTCTCAAGAACTGGATTGCTGAGATCTCTGTGCCGAGTTCCTAGGTCTGCGCACTTGCTGATTTTGGATTTATTTTATATTATGGAGAATGTAATAGAAGGAGTTAGAGCACACAAAGGTGGGTTGGAACACCCAGACCTCCCAGGTGAACAGGAACAGAGTTTGGGATAATGGAGGGAGATCTTACTTTCGGAACATCTAAGACGTATGCGGATCCAGGGTTTAACCAGGCTCCACCAATTACTAAAACATCACTTTGGTTGGACTGAATCTTCTAAGACACGTTTTTATTTTTCAGTAGTCCCTCTACCTAGCAGAGAACGTTTGGGCCACAAGGTTTAGCTTATTCTACCTTTGGGGTGCCAGACAAGGATACTCATATATGCACAACAAATGAGGAAGTATAAAAATACTGAAATTCAGCAAATTTCAGGACAATTCATTGACAAAAGTCCAAGATCAGATTTGTTTCTTCTAATGTAACGCCATCTCTTCCATCCTGCTCTAAAGCTTCCCGTTGGCAAAGGCAGCTTCTTGGAACTGAGGAACAAAACTTCGGAAGTAAGCTCTGCAAGAAAACAAACATCAGATCGTCAGTTGGGTTTAAAGGAAACTTTTACATCTCTAATGTTAACAGAAAACACTGCCAAATATGAACTGTTCAACTCATAAAAATGTACTGGAGCATAATCAGGGAGTCCAGAAGAGGAGTGTCAGCACTGGAAGCCTGGCGTTTGGGCAGGAAGGCGAAGAGCCCAAGGATGACCTCCCTTTAGATTCCACAAATGTCACTTTAGGGAGGCTGATATCTTAAATCACTTACGCTACGCAGCCAAAAGTTTGTGGACCCCTGACCATCCCATCTAGATAAACTTGTCAGGCTTGTCATCCAAGTTGGCTCCCCCAATCTTTATGGCTATAAAAGCCTGCAACCTTCTAGGAAGACTTTGCACAAGATTTTGGAGTGCGTCTCTGGGAATCTGTGCCCATTCAGCAAAAAGAACATTTGTGAGGTCAGATGCTGATGTTGGAGAGGAAGAATTGGCTCATAATCGCTATTCTAATTCATCTCAGAGGTGTCCAGCAGGGTTGAGGTCAAGTCTTTCTACAGGACACTCAATTTCTAAACTCACCAAACAATGTTTTATGGAGCTGGCTTTGTGCACAGAATCCAAAAGTCAGCATTCACCAACATTTATCTAAAATAAATTTCTGTCTGGTATCATGAGGTACATACAGTACAAAAGGTTCAAAACTCTTGGCTGTCGCATTTCCCCCGTGCCCAGCCCTAGTCATGATGAACAATCAAAATGTGATTGCCATATTTTAACCTTTTCTACTGTATGTCCCTCAAGAAACTATATAGGAAATTGACTTTGGGTGATGTTGGTGAGTGCTGGCTTTTGGATGCTGTAGAACTGCACTTGAAAAGATGTTGCTTAGAACCATACTATCCAACGTTGGATGATGGGTGGAACAGACTGACCAGCACTGATTTTTTTCTGTTGATTTGTACTCAGGGGCACAGAAAAGGGACTTCCCCAAACTGTTACCACAAGGTTGTAAGCACACAACTGGCTAAAATGTCTCTGTATGCTGTAACATTAACAGTACCCTTCACTGGAAAAACCTGAATTCAACCATTTGGAGGAATCATTTAAAGCAAGGAACACCGCGCTATCTACCCCCTGTGTTCAGTCCCCTCAAAGAGTTAAATAACAGCTGCAATGAATAAATCAGAGGATCTCAGTCCTCTCATCCAGTACAGAAGTCAATCAAGGAACGTCCATATTGTTGGCTATATAACATAGATGTGATGCTGAGATGTCCTCACACTTTTGTCCATATAGTGTAACATTCTAGTTTCCACCAATACACCTGTCATCACACTTTCTATAGGGAGATGAATGGCGCTTGTGGCGCTCCCTAGTCAGTACCTGAAACAAAAAAGAGTGATGGCACACCATAGAGACAGTACAAAGCTCTACACCTGCGAGACTGAGGTAATACAGTTCACTGTCACATTAATAATAAGAAGTGTGATATGTTTAAAAGGTAATAGCAGGATTAGGTGCAGTTAATGCTTCTAATCCTCAGCACGCCTCTAAAGAGCTCTTTTCATACCTACAGCCTACTCTTACTCTGTCACATTTACCATCTGTGCCTTTTAACTCCTTAAAGTATATCTGTCACTAGGGGTGTAAACTAGGGTAAGGCTGATGTGATATGGGCAAATCTGATGCTCGATGTTACATTGCCAGCAGAAGGATCACCTGGGAGAGGCTTCCACTGACCTCTATGGAATTGCCCTCACTTGGCTCCAAATGCAGCTGAATCTCCCTCGGTGGCAACATGTTCCTGGTATGACTAGTGATGGAGCAACTCCATTAAACCAGCTTAAAGGAGAACTATGGGGTTAGGGCTTTTCCCCATAGTTCTCCTTAGGGTAACAGGAGGACACAAACTAGCGTCCTCCCGTCACCCTAAGCTCAGTATACCGCGAGCTAAAGCTTGCGGTATACTGAGATGCCACAGCTGAAGCGGATCCCGACAATTATGTGTGGATTCGCCCGGCTGCGTGAGTGACAGCTGGCTCTGCCTATCTAGAGACAGAGCCAGCTGTACACGCCCCCTCCCCCGTCCGTTCCGCCAGTCAGCGCTGGAGGATCGGAGCAGGGACGGTGGAATCGAGCCACTCCCGTCACGGCAGAGCGCCGTGACCGGATCGAGAAGTGAGCGAACGACGCTCACTTCCCGATCTGCTGAGCCGACCTGTGACAGTTTCATTGTCACAGGTCGGCTAGAACTATGAGGCTGAGTGCAAAGCACTCACCTCATAGTTCTCCTTTAAGTGAAAAGTTAGCGTTCCTTTTGCTGTTGAGTTGTCACCATTGTCAGGACTGCTCCTGTGACATGGCCCTTAGGCCTCATTCACACGAGAAACGGCTGGCACGTACAGCTCTGTGCTGCGTGCACGGCCGTATCGGGCAGCTCCCGGGAAGGACAGGTGCTGTGTATGATTAGTACGCAGCCCCTGTCTTTCTGTATGGGACTACGCGGCCATACGCTGCCCTAAGCTCACACGCCCTGCACGTTTGTGCGGATGTCCGTACTCGTAAGCTGACAGGATGGATCCTGTCTGCGTCCGAGCCGGGACACCCGCACCCATACAGACCCACACTTGGGGTCAGCATACGGCCGCATAGTTCCATAGAGGACAGGGGCTGCGTAGTAATCACACCCAACACCTGTCCTTTCCGGGAGCTGCCCGATACGGCCGTGCACACAGCACCGAGCTGTACGTGCCGGCCGTTTCTCGTGTGAATGAAGCCTTAAAGTGTACAAGCATGTGCTACAATGTTTTGGCACATACCATGTTTGTCAAAACTGTATTTGGTTGTGTCTGGGAATGAGCAGGTTTTATATACTGACTTTACCCCAACTCATACGGATGTCAACACTCTGGGTTTATGGGGCTCCCATTCCTCTAACAGTTTGGGGACATGGACTTGGGTGTCATTTTCAGTGACAGCAGTTGTCTGCTATTCTTTTTGCTTGATACAAAGTAACACATGTAGGGTTCTTGTGTATTTTGCAACATTCAGCATCCCCAGAGTTCCTTAGATGTGCACTTAGCTGCAGGATAAGCAAATCTTGTAACAGATGCCTCCTTATGTCACCTCATTCATATTCACTGCAGTGACTGACTGCCTATATTACAGTTCTCAAAGATATCAGTAGACGTTTTCAGCGTAGTGCAGATACTAGTGTGCTGATTTTCACCAAACCTGCCAGGATTCCCTGTACTTTGTCGTGTTTCAATAAGCTGCTTTTAATCATCTTAGCTCCATAGATATAAACAGGAATGCTCGGCCATATTAATTCCTGAAGCTGCACCAAAAGAACTATTGAGACGAACAGATCCTACCTCTGCGCCCATTGGCTTGAGATGTCTACATTCAATGTCCATGTGCGGCTTTCAGCAGGTTAAGCAGAATTGGTAAATTGTTTTTCCAACACATCCCACAGATGCTTCATTTGATTGAGATCCGTGTTCCTCAAACCATTCTTGAACCATTATTGTAGTGTGGCATGACATACTATCCTGCTGAAAGAGGTCACTGCTATCAGGGAATACCGTTTTCATGAAGGGGGTGTACTTGGCCAGCAACAATGTTTAGGTCGGTGGTACATGTCAAAGTACCATCCACATGAATGGCACCACTGCTGTCCCTAACCTATATGCCACCTGAGGCAGCACAGCGCGGTTGGAGGGGGGGGTTGCATCGCGTGCTGCTCATACTGATATATATATATATATATACAGTGGTACCTCGGTTCACAAACGCTTCTGTTCGCAAACAATTTGGTTCCCGAACTTGAAGTTCGGCAAAATGTTGCTTACGCTCATGTAACTCCGCATCGGGTGATGAACACAACCGCAGCCATCTTCCCTGCTCTGACACATGGTCGTGGCTTCCTCTAGTCGAGATCACGGTCTGATCACAGTTTGATTCGGTTTACGAACAGAATCGTGGAACACACACACACACTATTCTGTTTGGGTGAATGTACAGACTTCCTCTGGTTACCCAAGGATGTGATAATGCATTTACAATGTTCCAGTTAAACTAGGAAGGACCTTTAAATTGCAGCATCTATAAATTATGACTCAAGCGATTTATAGATTTCCAATAAAGTGAGGATGTTTTACACACTATTAGAAAGTGACATCACATCGTTTACGATGACAGATCGACATTATGGAGTTTAATATACAGGGAACCTCCTACAAACATTTTGTGGAAGGATTAAATAAACAAATAAAACCAAAAACTGTATTGTTGTTTTGGTAACAATATCAGCAATCTGCCTCCAGATAAATGAGATACCGTAATGGAGAAATTGTATAACTTTGTAAATGGTAAATGAAAAAAAAACATCATCCAACCATCCTGCTATCTGGAGTTCAAAAATTATTAAATAAATAAACTTACTGTTTGGAGGAAATGCTGTTTAGGTCCCCACTACAACCTGTCACATGACCAAATGTCTGGGCATCTGACCACATGATCTCTGCTAGCAAGGAAGATGGGAGTTTAGATTAGGTAATCACCCCCTTCAGCATGGATGAGTTGGTTGAATGCCTAGATAGCTATAACAAGGTGAAGTAGCTAATGGACATCTAACAGCCTACTGCTCTTGGGAGGGAAAAGCTACCAGACTTATTTGGAAACCTTATCTGATGCTTATGTTCCATCTACAGAGATAGGTGGCAGCAGCTGTCTGGGCCCTTCTCCCTCCTCCCCTCGTCATCCAGTGAAAGTATACATATTTAGGAGATTGGCAGCTGGTAAACATGCGTCCAAGAATTTGGATCATGTTGGCACTCACATGTCTATGGCCACTTTAAAGTGAACCTCTGTTTTGTCCACTGTATGGAAGTATCCAGCTTCCCTTATTGTAAAATATTCTTTAAAAGTGAACCTGGCCTTTGCCTATACATGGAGGATGGATGGATGGAGGAGGATGTGACTCACTGCCTCCCCCCCACGTGTGTGTACAGCG